TGCTGGGAGACTCGTCTTGCTGAGGGATATAACCCGGCTGATCAGCTCCAAGATCCTCATCAGGTGCCTCAACGCCCCCTTGCTGGGGACCACCTCCTCGCCGGCCCCCATGACACCGTGGGGCACCCCTGCCTCGTGGGGCACCCCCGCCTCGTGGGACAGCCCTGCCTCGTCCCCGTTCCCTCGGGCGTGTGACACCCCTACCCCACTGGTGGTGCTCTGGCGCCACATAATCGAGGGGCTGTGATCTAAGCGCTCGCCCTGTCTGGCTCGCTGCAGTGTCCGTAGAGCCAGCTCTGTCACCTACCGGCCATACTCAGCGGCCGCATGATCGCCAGCATGCTGCTGCATCTGCAGTCCCAACTGGTAGAATAAATGATGACCAATAGCCTGCAGAACATTTAAAATATTAATTACAGAATGCTATATCACAGTTATAAGTAAGAATACCAAATAACATACCAGTGCCTCGTGCCTCCCGGCGTATGGTGTGTATCGACCGCTAGCTTGATGAATGGGGTTCCCGATAAAAAGTCGGGTAACGCGGCGGTACCAGGACGTATACATCTGAATATAGGGGTGGAATCAGGTCCTCTCGCACCTCCCAAGTATGGACCTGCACCTCTAGCCATGCTACAAATGCGTCGTCCGCCCTCGAACGATCATCCCGCTGATAATGTAAAGCCTTTCATGTAGGCTCCCTCGGTATAGTCTGTGGACGGCCAAACTGGCGAAGTACCAGCTCTGTGGCATGATGCTCCACAATATCGAGGCACATCAGCGGGACGGAAGTGCTCCAAATCAGTCGGGTGGCCGAGCAATAATCGGGCAGGCCAGTAATCAAGACGTCGTTGTATGGCGTCCAGATAAACTATCAAATAATAACATATAAGTGAGTATGCGCAACACAAGTGAATTTATAACAAGTTTAGGTACACATTTACCTGTGCGCCCTCCAGCATGTCTAACACATCCTTGACAAAGGGGAGATTATGATGAGCATCAATGGCTTGGTAATTTCCACGTCGGAGAACCCACCTCGTAGCTAGAGGGAGAAACGGAGGTTCTACATCCGGAGGTAATGGTGGTAGAGGTGGCTGCAACGACAGGAGCCGCTCCCAGGCCCAAACTTAACATACAAGGTTGACGTAAAGTTTAAGAAAACTTTTGACTAGATAGAATTGGAAGTAATGAATAGAGTATTCGAATATGTTGTCACCTGTAGAAGCAGCAGAAGACCGCATACGTCGCTCTGGGTGCCCATGTTTTCCCGGCACATATTCCTGTACAGGTAAGCGAGAACAGCAGCACCCAGCTGTACTGGGGTAAATCATCTAGCTGCTGAAGATGATGTAGAAATCGCAAACTCACTAGATTTCTCTAAATGTTCGGGAACAAGACATCCCAAAAAAAAATGAGCAGCACCAACCTCGTGTGCCGGTGAATATGTAGATCATCTGTCTCGCCGATGATGTCGGGGTGCAATATCTCCAAATGTTGTCTAATAGCTGTCAAAGTCATGCGACTGGCCCCTGAAGCTGCAGTCTCAACCTGTGGCCTGAAACCAGAGAACTGCTGCAGCAAGTCCAAATATTGGGCACGCGACATAGATCTCATATACTGAGGCAGTGCAACGGCCAATACATCAGCAGGCAGCCTACATAAAACCTCAATATCATGCAGCGTGATGGTGGCCTCGCCAATGGGCAGGTGGAAAGTGTGCGTCTCCGGTCGCCACAGCTCTATCAAGGCCGTAATCAGAGACCGGTCAAGCTGCAGCCACCCAATCTGAAAAATCCTATAGAAGCCCGTATCCTGCAGGTGCTTGACTACACGGGGATGGAAATCTCTGCCCCTCATAAAGTTCCACAAGTCGTCCACTCTCCTGGCATGGAGAGTCTGGTCCAGTAGCTCTCCCTCCCATACGTAGGCGGACCTATGATCGCCTTGTAACACTAATAGCTCATCGGAGAAAGGTCCGGGATGCATAGGCAGCACGTCCATGTCGTCTACTGTAAATTAAATAATATTAATTGTTTGTTTGTTTTGAAAATTAAATAATTAATTTTAATTGGACAGTTTGTTTTGTAAATAATTAATATTTAATGATTTAATCGGACAGAGTATATACCTATGGGTTCCAGGCTCGATATTTGAGGCCCAGTAGCACCAAGCTTTCCTAAATTCTTATGTGTATCAATTTTAATTTTTTTCATAATTTTGTGTGTTTATTTTATAAATTAAATAATTAGTTTTTAATTGGACAGCGTATATATCTATGGATTTCCGACTCGATATTTGAGGGCCAGTACCACCAAGCTTTCCTGAATTCTTATGTGTGTCAATTTCAATATTTTTAGAATTTTGTGTGTTTGTTTGTTTTGTAAATAATTATTATTTAATTATTTAATTGGACAAAGTATATACATATGGGTTCCAGGCTCGATATTTGAGGCCCAGTAGCACCAAGCTTTCCTAAATTCTTATGTGTGTCAATTTTAATTTTTTTCGTAATTTTGTGTGTTTGTTTTTTAAATTAAATAATTGATTTTTAATTGGACAGCGTGTATATCCATGGGTTCCATGCTCGATATTTGAGGCCCAATGCCACCAAGCTTTCCTTAATTCTTATGTGTGTCAACTCCAATATTTTTAAAATTTTGTGTGTTTGTTTTGTTTTGTAAATAATTAATATTTAATTATTTAATTGGACAGAGTACATACCTATGGGTTCCAGGCTCGATATTAGAGGCCCAGTAGCACCAAGCTATCCTAAATTCCTGTGTGTGTCAATTTCAATATTTTTCATAATTTTGTTTTTTGTTTTATAAAATAAATAATTAATTTTTGTAAATTGTAATTGGACAGAGTTTGTGTTTGATCTATCAATATAGTAGATATTTAAACTGCAGAGATTCTACGCTAAAAGGCTCTACATTTTACTACACAAAAAGGCTCTATATTTTACTAAGCTAAAATGCTATATTTTACTACGCTAAAGGGGCACTAGTCTTTAAGCAAATAAATAATCTAAACTAAATAAAAACAATAAATATATTTTAATAACATAACATTCACGAAATTACATATAAAACAGTAAAAGAGATTTATGAATATTTTTATTAACAAGAAAAATTATTTCTCAACTTTTAACTATTTTTTTAAAACACTAATATCTTAATCCGGATAAAATTAACATACTAATTTAATCGCAAACAAAACACACAACAACATGGAAACACATTCAAGACAACTAATATGCATCATTATACGAGTTTCGACATAAACTAAATCGGAATACTTCAATTTATGTTTTTAGAAAAGTCGGGAAATTAAAATTTTGAGCCCGAAACGAGAAAACCACAACAATAGAAGGCTTGGGTTGGATGGGGGACCTACAATCTTATCTTTTTATGTGACGGGTGGGTCCACTCGAATTTTTTTTGGAGAAAAAGAGGGGGGTGCTGTTTCTTCTTTTAAAAATGGGGCTCGAACTGTTTCTGTCGTGGGAAGAAAAAAGGGTCTTTAATTAACAGGTATAGCGTGTCATAATACCGCGCTATATAACGCGTTATTATATCGCGCTATACTTTAACGGCAGAAACACCGTTAAACTATAGCGCGGTATAATACCGTGTTATATATAGAAAAGTAACTTTTATTAGGCAGTAAAAATGTATTTTAAGTCCAAAAGGTTAGCATTTAGGTCTCGGACTCATTGTAAGATAGCCCATAACCCTAAATCGTTTTCATCGTATTGATAACATAAAAATCTAGTCTTGTGTTCTCAACGTCCACTATTTGTTTTTCCTTCATTTTAATTCGTTTAGATTCAAATACTTTTGAGTTTAATCCTTGTTTAAATAATTAGGATAGTCTAATTTATTTAACTTAAAAGTCCTCATGAATTCGACGCTTTACCTTATCACTTTATTACTTGACAATTACGAATATTCACGTGTGTGTTTGGGAGCAACATTGTTGCTTGTTACCAACACAAAAACAAATCGTTTCACCTCAAACAAGGGTGATTAGCCTCTTAACTTCGGACAATTGAGGAGTACACGTGTTGAAGGGAATGGGCGAGCTGCCCAGCAGTGTATCTTTCTAGAAAGCCCTTAGTGAAATTAATTTAAGAAAAGAAAACTCTTTCCAACGTCATTCCTTATTTCAAAAGTATTTAATTAGTGTTTCACGTTAATACATAACAAGCTATCGTGTCACACTCTTAATGTTCAAGAGATAATATTATAATAAAGGAAACGAATATTGAAATCGGAATATTATCCTCCTTGGACCTGTAAATGTAATGCACAAAATCTATAAACCGACTTCCGATAGATTGTGGTATTGTGGACCGCTCTAACTTCCCATTTAGGGTACTTCCTATATTAGTGAAAGTAATTAAAATTACTCTTTCCATGTAATCGTGATAGCATTTCTTAGTTTCCCTACAGTATTTTGGGAATCCAAGAAACTCCAGATCGCCTATGCATTTCCCTACAGAGTGGAGAATCCAAGAATTTTATTATATATGCATATATGATGTTGTAGTATGCAATGATAGAGAAAATTACATACTCCCTCAGTTCACTTTTACTTGTTCACAATAAACTTTGCACGCCCCTTAAAAAATAATAAATGAAGTGCATATTTTACCATATATCTCATAATAACAATAGTATTTTGAAAAGTCTTGAAAAATAATTTATAAAATGAGTAATTAATGATCATGATAAAATAGGGGGGGAGGGGGGAGGAAACGACCTTCTCTTGAATTGCTAAAATTGACAAGCAAAATTGAATATATATTTTTAATATTGTGGACAAGCAAAAGTGAACAAAAAGAGTATTAATTAGGTTTAACATGACATAAATTAGTAGGCAAAATAAAGGACATCATTACTAAAGATGGGATTTTCGTGGTTAAACACTTTAGTCACGATGCTTTTCCATAACATGCGCATAGCCAACAATTAGCTATATTGCTGCAAAAGTTGTTGGATGTACAACAAAATCTCATATTAGTAACTGAAAAGATTGAGAACCTACATGTATAATATAAGGATCTCTAAATGGTAGGCGCTCAAAGGAAAACCATACGGACTTGATTCAAAATGCACAAATATCACGTCATGTCAAACTATCGAGCTGGTTAACCTAAGAGAAGTTTAATTTTAACCCTTTTACCACGACAAATCGAATTTGTAGCAGCTGACAAGCACATGGACGACCAATTATATATTCATGTCATATACATAGAAAGTTGAGAATTGACATCTTTGGCATTTCCAATCTCTCAAGTGTCATGTTACGTACAACTTGGCAGCAGACAAGACACATGGACGATCAAATACGCATTACTTTCATGAAACATCAGATGAAAGCTGAGAAATGAGTCATAGTGGGCAAAAGTTCTGTGAGGAACAGGACAATTTTAATCTAGAGCCTGTAAGTCTCAGTATATAATTCGCAGATGGCTCCACTTTAGCCAGATAATTTCAAAGCGAAAACAACAACAACACGCCTCATTCCCAAATTCTGTAGTAGAAACGAGGTGTTGCAAGCACAAAGAAATATGGGAAGCCATAGTCATAAGTCCATCTCTAGAAGCCGGAAGTCCATCTCTAGAAGCTGGAAAATGATTCAGCGGAATAAGAGAAGCATTTATCAGTCACCCATTTGGAACAATCGAAACTAGAACAAATCACGAGTCAAAAGTCATCTCTTGATGTAACAACCTTGAGACCCCAGAGGCAGCTCCAATGCAGTGCATGGCTACAACAGAATCACCTTCCTTACATAGCACTTATGTTTTGGCATGTCGAAGAGCAAATACCCTTAGGATGTTACCTTTTGAACCAAGAATATCTTCTCAATTGAAATTTCCGTTCATCGCCCCACCATAAATGCATTGGAGTTGGCAAAAATGTCATCAAGGCCCCGGGCATATCATGAACCCGCTTGACATTGGCAAAAAGAAAACATTGCTCCAAAAGTTTCTTTTTGCCAATGTCAAGCGGGTTCAACATCTGTTAAACAATTTTTTCATGGTTTAACAATAATTTATCACATAAAGTTAGTAAAAGATTTTGACAAATTGTATTCAACTGGACACACTTGTACAAGCATAGGTCCACCATTGTTTTAGATGGATGACATTCTTCAGCCCATGCTTAGAAATTAAGCCTCCAACTATAGATCAGTAAATCGGCCACCACTATCAGTAAATCGCTCATAGCAATACATCTCACCAACTATGTACACATAGTTCTGAAAGTGATGAATTTATAGGGTGAACCAACCTTGCTACACAACCTCAATGGTCCAATCATCTATTTCCCAAAATGTGTTATAAATGCACAAAATACAAAACCCCAACCTCTCTCCAACCCTACGAATCCAGCAACTATGCATCAATTCCAAGTAAATTGGATGGAGCCCTCAATATTCATTCTGCTCAATTTAGACTCATTTCACTTCCATGCCGGAAAAGATTACCAAACACCAAAAGAACCAACTAATTTACATATAGATTAAACTACTGATGTTCGTTAATATACATTTCATACGGCCGGTCACATTGAATAATAAGGAGAAATATTATTATTCATCTTCAATAATAGAAGATCACAGATATTTTTAATGCAAAATACTATGAATCGGTTCATCTTCAATTCTCGCATGCATCTTCCAAAAACATTGGTTATAAACTTAGGCTAACTTTCTTCATTGGGTCAACTTGGAAACAAATTTTATCATAATTTATTTGCTAGCCAACTATCTAGCTTGCTCTAATTATTTAGAGAACTATTTGAATGCGATTCATTTCCTGGAGGCAAGCAAGAGAGTCAACTGAATCTTGCAAAATTTTAACATGGAGGCTGACCTTGTAACAAGTTAGAACAATAATAATAAAAATGAAACAATTACAATTCATGCTAGAGAACCCGTTTAATTATAAGTAAGTGTATAAACTACAACCTTTGAAAAGCAATAAGATGTTCACACAAAAACATTATAATACGTGAATTATTATTCCTAACATGGCATTGCTTAAACTTTTGTTTGATCTTTCATTATTATTCTCATGACTAGTATGCATCTCTCCTTTTCTCTATATTGTAATTCTATATTATTGTACTTGTAAACATGTATCCAGGACAATGTACATAATTTTCGCAAGTATGTATGGATATGTATATGTATTTTTTATGCATATTGTTGGAATGTAAGCTTTCATATTATATTAGTCATAAATTGATTTTGGTAATTAAGTTGGTGAATATTTCAGTCAATATAACGTGGCTCTCAAAGACACAAGAAGACTGCACATGGTTTTGAAACTTTTCTCAAAATCAAGAAAATACAACTCCTCTTTTTTTTTTTTTTTTTGATAAGATCAAGAAAAGACAACTCCTTCCGCAACAAAATGATTTAATTACTTGAAATGAAGTATATATCTTCGAATTTGACTGTTATGACTGTTGATTTTGCTCTAGGCATGTATACAAGAATTTGGATAGTCAATATCATTTTGCGAGAACTATGTTGAAATAGGACATCAACGTCTAATTTCAAAAAAGTCGGTAAGATTTTACTAATATATTATTTTCCATTTCATTTCAGTGTTTTGCCTTGTCCTGAGAAGAATCGTGAAGACAAAACCAGCTTAACCCACGCCGTGCTAGAAACAATAAATACTTCACGCTTTATGAATGTTGTGTTATTAGCATCTCATTACTTTTCAAATGTTGTAATATATATAAACCTCCCTATAATGAACTTGTTCTCTAGCATGGATTATAAGTGTTCCTCTGTTTTTTTCTAACTTGCTTATGTTCAAGACTGTCAAGGTTAGCCTCCATTTTTATAAAATAATGCAATCAGTAATTTAATCATTTCTCTCGCATTTCCCGAAAAGAAAATTGCATTGAAATAGTTAGAATGAGACATTCTAATCAAGAAGGTATAGCAAATTGCACTCCCAATTTAATGCAAAATACTATGAATCGGTTCATCTTCGATTCTCACATGCATCTTCCAAAAATAACGGATATAAAATTAGGGTAACTTTCTCATTGGGTCAACTTGGAATATTTTTTTTTCCATACTTTATTTCCTAGCTAAACTATCTCGCTCTAATAAATATGGAGATTATATTCAAGACATGTAGCCTCCATTTTTACAAATTAATGCAAGCAGTAATTTAATCATTTCTCTCACATTTGCCGAAAAGAAAATTGCATTGAAATAGTTAGAATGAGACATTCTAACTAGGAAGGTATAGCAAATTGCACTCCCAAGTTACCCAAGTTAAAAATTACAAGTTTCTCTAATTTGAGTTTCATTGTTTTCGAAAGATGCATGTGAGAATCGAAAATTAAAATCCGCCCTATAGCATTTTGCATTTTGATATGACTAATGTGTTTTTTATATTGCATTTTAGTAGCAATTTCTTTTCCTAATTTATGCATGCAGTCGATATTTATGTTTTCATCTTAAAATAGTCATAAATTGATTTTGGTAATTATGGTGGTGAATATTTTAGTAACTTGGCCCTCAAAGACATAGTTTATGGACAGAGGCGGATCCAGGATTTGAGGCTTATGGGTTCCTACCGTAATTTCATATTAATATATAATAATAACTGGGTTCACAGTCAGATATTTACCAATATTTAGTGAATTTCTTAATATAAATACAGGGTCTACGCAAGAGTTATTGGGTTCCCGGGAAAAAGGACACCTATGCACTAGGTCCGCCCCTGTTTATGGATATATGTGATGTTGATCCTAATCTCTCGGGATTCGACTAGTCCCTTAACATAATGACCTAATTACTTATGGGAAAGTGTCACTGTGGAATAGAGAAGACTAGATCAAGCCTATTTCATGATAGGAATAATACTTCATGCTTTATCAATTTGTTTTGTGAGCATCCCACTACTTTTCAAATATCGTAATATATAGACATCCTTACAAAGAACTACTCTGTGACATGAATTATAGGTGCTTATTTATTGTTTGTAACTTGTTTTAGGTTCAAAAATTTCCAAAAGCTTGCTTTTCATTTTAAACTAATGAATTCTTTTTAATCATCTCTCCCACGCATCTGAATATGCATTAAATAGCAAGAATGAGACATTCTAAATCAGTAAAAACTTTTAGATGCAAGAGCTTGGTACCCCAAGTAGAAAAGGAAAATGCAGACAATTTGCTTTAATGAACGGAATAATATGTTTTTAGTAACATATCATGATAATCGTATTCCACAAAGCAAAATACTATAAATTGATTATATCAACAATTCTCGCATGCATATTTCGAGAACAATAAATCTGAAATTAAGTCAACTCATTATTTTTAATTGGATCAATTTGAAAGCACAATTGGTCATATTTTATTTCCTAGTCGAAATGTCTCATTCTAACTATTTTTTGATTGTTTTCTTTTCTTGAGGCATAATAATTATAATACATATTAGAGAGCCAATCAACTATTGAGATCTGTATAAATTACAACCTTTAAGAAGCAATGAGATACTCACACAAAAACATTTATAAATCATGACTTGTTATTCTTAACGTGACATTTCTTTAGTTTGGTTTACTCTTCAGCATTCTTCTTAATCACTAATTAGTATTTAGTATTTATCTCACATCATTTCCATATTGTGATACTATAGTATTGTTCTTGTCAAATGTATGTAGATACATATGTGATAATGTTTTCATTCATGTTGGCACGTTGTTCTCATGTTATAGCAAAAAGAAAATGATTTTGATAATTATTATGGCGAATATTTCAGTCAAAACACGGGTTTCAAACATATTAACTTTGGCTTCACGTGATATCCGTCCAATTTCTTAGGATTCAAAAAGAGACTACTCTCAGAACCTGATGATTTAATCACTTGTGGAGAATCCTGCATTACCAATTTAAATTGTTACCATTTGTTAGTTCTTCTCTAGGAATGTATACTATGATTGTGATAGCCAGCCTATTGGGTAGGAATAACGCTTAAATAGGACATTAGTGTCCAATTTCAACAGAGTTCACTAAAAATTTATATATTGTTTTATTGATTTTTTAGTAATTTAATTTGTTATAAGAGAGAGATTAGTGAAACAGTAAACTAAGTTTAAGCAACGTCATACTAGAAATAATACTTCAGCTTTATAAATATTTTTTTGTGAGTATCTCATTTCTTTTCAAAGGTAGTACACACACTATCTCCCTCAAATGAATTGGCTCTCTAGAGTAGATTGTAAGAGTTTCTTTATTACTTTAGACTTGTTTTATGTTTAAGAAATTGTCAAAAAATTTAAGATAACACAATTTATCATTTAACAAGTTCTCTCTCGCACCTTCTAAATATTAAAATTTGCATTAAAATAGTTTAAAACAAACATTATAACCGAGTAAAATATAGTAAATTGTGCTTCATAGTTGCCCCAATTAAAAATAATGAGTTGACCTAATTACAGATTAATTATTTTCTAAATATACATGTGAAAATTGAAGATTAGATCGGTTGAATAAGGGTATTCGAAGTGCTATTAAACAACACATTGTTCCCAAGATAACAAAAACAAAAACATGTTGTTCACTTTATGAAGAAAATAGTAATCATATTCCTTTACTTAATATACCAATTGTGAATTAAGATCATACTGCTAAAAGTTTCAATCGAATTAGAAAGCATCTCTCTAAAAGGAGTATAAAGAACATTGTAGCTAGGCTCTAGTGGTTTCCTTTGAGACCGGGATGCAACATCCTTTTGTCACTTCGAATGGAGTGGTTGGTACGACCCTTCTTCGCCTAGGCTAAAAAAGAAGCAACTCTGACACCTTTCTAATAAAAATAATTATGTTCTTGGTTTTCTAATATTTTTAGAAGTACTTCTCATTAGTGACTTTATATTGTCTTTAATATCGATGGGTACCGGTTGCTACGTGTTAAAAGTTAACCACTATGATTAGATACAAATAAAATCACTGATACGCATTAATGTACATTTCATGCGCTTGATCGCGTTAACATAATATCGAGATAAACTATAAAAAATTAATCAAACTTTTAACTGTAAGTTTTTTGTCCCTAGTTTTAAAAGAGAAATGCGCACATTTTCTTTAAGGGGAAATGGTTAAATTTGCCATTCTACTATAAATTGGGCAACTTTACCCTCTATTAAACTTTGGTCTAATATTACTTCTACCATTAGGATAAGTCTCATTTTCCCTTAACCCTAAGGAAGCTCTAACAAAACTCCAACTTTGAGATAATTTCAAAGCATAAAATTGATGAATAAAACTGAACTTTTTTTTTTGAAAATTTTGAACACATGGAGTTCACTCACTTCGCATTAGAGCTCTGTTAATGACAAGACAAATATGAGAAAGTTTACTAATAGGAAGGTTATGATTGCAACAAAAGTGTAATTGACAACCAAATTAACCAATTTTGGGTAGTACCAGAGCAAATTTGGACCTTTTCTCTTTCTATAGTAAAGTGGATAATATGTTTCCAATACCATATTCAGTATGCATATCTTAACCTCAAAATACTATGGGTTGTCCATCTTCAATTCTCAATTGCATCTCCCAAGAATGGATCTAAAATTACATTGGCTCATTATTTTTAATTGGGTCAACCTAGAAACACTATTTATCATACTTTATTCCTAGTCAACATGGCTCATTCTAACTATTTAATTGTGATTTCCTTTTCCTGGATACGTAGGAGAAAAATGAATAAATCATATATTGCATAATTTAAAATAAGGGCAAACCTTGGCAGTTCTTGAACAAATTACAAGTTAGAAATATTTAAAAAGAAAAAATAATTCTAATCAATAATAGAGAGCCAGTACATTTTAGGGAAATATAAATTATAGCTTTGAAAAGCAAGGAGATGCTCACATAAAAAATATTCATAAAGCATGAAGTACTCTTCCTAGAATGGTATTGCTTAAACCTGATTTTCTTATCTATTCTTTCCTGAAACTAGTATGTAATTTCTTTTATTTTTCATCTATAGGTTGTAGTTCTAAATATTGTATCTGTCAATATGTATGTACGTAGTACATCTGTGACTATGAATATATATAATTCATACTATATATGCATGACTAAGTGCATGTATTTATGTACGTTAGAATGTGTGTTTCATATTATACTAATCATAAATTGTTGATGGATATTACTGGAAATGAGAGTGAAGATCCACCATCAACATCATTATAATTTTCAGCTTGCTCCTTAAATATGGAATAAATATGGTCACAATGTACCCGAGATGAAACTCTACATTTTAGGCTTTGAATCAAAGATATCTGATTTCATTTTTTTCGTTCGCCAAGTAACAATGCCTGTAACAACGTAAAACAACAACGCCGGAACAAAAAGGACGATAGCAAATTCAGTGTTAACACCTGTCGAACAGATGTGGAACCAGTGATATTGCGTCCGCAAAACTAAACACGTTAACAATCTAAAGCCCTTAATTAAGAATCAAACAACTGGTAACGAAAAGTATAACTGATCCAGGACTACAGATCTAATAATTGTGAAGTAGAATATACTAGGGCTTGTGATTGAACGCACCTTTTGAAGACGGAGAGGCATAAGTGTTAGAGGGATGGAGTGAAGTACGGCGTCAGAGTAGCTTCAGGAATTCTGACTTCCACCTACTCCGGCGGCGGCAGCGGCGGCAGGCACATCGTTTTGGACGATTGAATTTGAATTTAAGTGTGAAGAGTGATTAGAGCCAGGAAGTAAGCGGAGGAAGAAGAATCATTTTACGTGGCGGTTTGTATGTGGCGATGTACGCCGCCCAGCATTTGTATCTTTCTAGGGAAACCCGGCGAAATTGAAAATTGGAAATACAGAACTCGATGTCCTTTTTTCATGTTTCCAATGTCCTCCTTTTTCCTGATATCATTTTTTTATTTCGAAAATATCAGTCCGTAACCACGCTAACCCGCGATTCGCGCGAGCGATTTTTAAGAAGGGAAAATATATTTGGACAAACTAAGGGCCCGTGCGTCAAAATAAATTTGCGAATTATTTTAAAAATTCATGGTCATAAGTTTTGCTCATATTTTGGCCAAATTTCAAATCCAAAAATTAGCTATTGAGCTGATTTTGGGTCAAAATCCCAAAACTTGGGAATTATACATGTTTTTCAAAATAAAGTTGGAAAATATGTTTTGAAAATGTATGTCCAAACACATTTTCATCTTCAAACCAAACTTCACCCAAATCAGATTTTTCAAAATAAATTTGGGATATATGGCCAAACGCTAGCTAAGAATGGCCCAAATGTCCAGAATGGGGGTATTATGGTAACTTCGCACGGCTTTTCAGGGCATAATAGATATTTAAGCATTTTCGTTTTCCAGATATATCCTTTAGCAGATTTGTTTTTCAATTTAATTTTTTCCCTCCCATTCTCTCTCATTAGTTTAATTGTCTTACCTTCCACATGCTTCTTTCACATTTACACATGCATGTTACACTATTTTTCATAAAGCAATTTATACTCATATACATATACTATACCAATTAAACGAAATAAGCTAAAAAATATGCATAGTATACTAAAAAAATACGATAAAACTACTGTATTATAGTTTCTATATTACTGTATCACTAAAATAATATTGTATTACTTTCTAACCCTAACACTTAAATATATAGTGCTTCAACTAAGAAGCCACTACAACAAATGTGATTTTTAACCACGAAAATATTAGCTACAATAGAAAATTTATCACTAATTATCGATTTTCTGTGACAAAAATTATATTTCGTACTTAAATACATGAGGCATACGCTTTTAGTGACAAAACATAAATTTCGTAGCAAAATTTTTGTCTACTAAAGTTTTCTACAAAAAAAATGAATTGGCGCCAAATATTGATTAATATTAGCCACAAAATTAATATTATTGGTGAAAAATTAGTTTCGTCACAAATGTTGTAGACAATTGGTGACAAATAATTGTTCGTCTTAAAATTAGTTATATTTTCGCTACAAAATAGTTTCGTCACTAAAAGTTTTATATTTTTTGCAACCTTAGTTTTTGTCACTAATAGCATAAACAAATTAGTGACGATCAGTGTATCATCTCTATTTTACCTATGAAATTATTAGGTACCTAAAAAGTGCATCACTAATTATTGTCTTTTTGAAACAAAAATTAGAGTCGTACTTAAATGCACACGCGCATATATTTAGTGAAGAAACAAAAATTTCGTAGCAATAGTTTTTTTTACTCAGGTTTTCCACCAAAAAAATGGATTATCGCTAGTTATTTAGTAACATTAGTCACAATATCTAGTGTTATTGGTGACAAACTAGTTTCATCT